TACGAGCAGCCCGTCCTGGGGTACTGCCAGGCCCACAAGCCCCTGCACGTGAACAAGGGCTACGACCCCATGGGCCGGGAGCAGGCGGAGAGCTCGAGCCTGGACCTGAGCCGGGAGCACAACTTCATCGCCACCATCGCTCGCTCGGCCGCCCCGGCCATCTACATCGAGAGGATACCAAACTAACCCCCCCCGGGCACCTCGGGGGGCACCTGCCAGCTGGGCCAACAGGCCAGGAGAGACCCTCCCAAGCCACCATTCCAGCTCCAGAACCTTCCAGCCCGGCGCCAGGGGAAGGGCGGGAGAGCGCGGACTGAGCCGCACCGGGAACGCTCGGAGTCCGCGCCGAGAACTTCAGGATTTTTTCCCCCTTTTTGCTTTAAAACTTTCCGACGAATTTTCCTCAAAAGTGTAAATATTAAAGGAAAAAAAAAAAGAGGAGAGAGAGATTGTCGAGTTCTTATTAAAAAAAAAAAAAAAGGAGGACAAAAAAAAAACCAACAAACAAATAGATTTCACTCTATAGCGACGTAAAAGGGATGGATTAAGAGTTTTGTTTGTATATTTGATTTTTCTACATTGCACGGTTCCAGGGAAGGAGAACCACAGGTAAAAATAAAAGGGGTGGGGAGGGCAAGGCTCTGGGGGAGGGGGGGGTTCAGCCATGTTTCCTTCTTAAGTGTTTATTACAAAGATTGGTTTAATATTTTTGTTCTTTTTAAACAGACGAAAGAGAACTATATATTTTCTTTTCATTTTTTTTTTCATTTTTGGGGGTCTTTTTTTTTTTGGTTGGTTTATGGGTGTTTTTTTTTTTTAGCTGTCAAGAATTAAATATTTCAAACTTGAGACGTGGGCATTAAAGCTTGTGTTGAACCAAAAGGACATTGGCAATTGATGCAGCAGAAACCAAGAAATGTGGGTGCATGTACATTTAAGACACCGGCTGTACACTAGGGAGGGGCTTTTGATTTTTACTCTCTTCATTGTGCTTCATTGTCGACACTATAATTACTTTTGGGGGGCTCTAAAAAAATAAGGGGAAACATTGCAATGGATTTACAGCCCAGTGGGGCTGGTTAAGCAAAATTCATGGACGTTTGGGAACCAAAATGGAAGTGCTGTGCTGGAAATGGATCCGAAGGCAAAACCTTTTAAAGCAAGAGCATTTAGTGAAACTCACTGGCTGACACAATTTCTAAAACACAGGAGAATGTGTAACATTGTTTTTTGGTTTGTTTTTTTGGTTTGTTTTTTTGTTTTTTTGGTTTTTTTTTAATTAATTATTATGCTCAGTTAGTTTTTGTGTAGTTTTTATCAATAAAATGACGACGGCGACGACAACAACAACAACGACAAAAAAAAAAAGTGGTGGAAAAAAATAAACATATTATTTTGTGGTTGGGACACCACAGCCAAGCTCCTGTTTGAATGGTTTTTGGGTGTGTGACACGGTGACTGCACGGAGGGGGAGGGCTCTGTCCTGTCCCACCTCCAGCCCCTCTCAGAAGGAGCTCAGGGAATTATTTTGAGGTTTTTCAAAGCTCAATTTCTGTGTCTTGTCCAAGAAAAACTCCAGAGGTTGTTTTGGGCCTGGGAGGGAGGGAAGAGAACGAAACCACCTTATTTTGTGGTTTTTTTTTTACTAAAAGTCTTTTTGTTTCTTTCTCAGAAGGCACCTTTTTCAGGTGACAACCCTGAGCTGAAGCTAAACCAGCTCAGGGGATGAGTTTGGATCTGGAGGGTGAATAATTCACCCAGGGGGTTCAGGCCATGATGAATTTCCTGATTATTTCAAATATTTCTCTTGGATGTTCTATGAAAAATACACTTGGCCACAAGGTAATGAATTCCAGCGAGTAAAATACCTCCAATATATTTTGTTCTGTTTTCCTCACCTGAAAAACTGATTTATTTTTCTCTGGGAGGCGAGGAGAGAAAATTCCTGGGTGGGTATTTTGCAGGGCCATGTGGATGTGCAGAGTGGATGCACCAAAGGGAGCACATTTCCAATTAAGTGTCGGGCAGGAAATTTTCCACCTCAAGAAAAGGTGGGAAAAATGAAAAGAAAATAGAATGAAAGTCCAGGTGATGAGTTCAGAATCAGGTCTGTTGGACCTCTCAAGACCTGGCAGCGCTGCAGAGGAAGGGGAAAAAGCCAGAGCCAAGGGAGGAAATGGCAAAAGAAATACTTTTTGTATGTGGTTTTTCCTTAAAAAAAAACTTTTTGCCTTCAAAAGAACCTTTTTTCCTTGTAAAGAACCTTTTTTCCCTAAAAACGCACTCTTTTTCCTTAAAAAAAAAGTTTTAATTAAAAAAATCCCCTATTGCTTAAAAATATCAATTTTCCTTAAAAAACACTTTTTCCTTAAAAAAAAACCTTTTTCCTTAAAAAACCTCTTTTTCCTTAAAAAAACCTCTTTTCCTTAAAGAAACCTTTTCCTTAAAAAAAAACCCTTTTTCCTTAAAAAAATCCCTTTTCCTTAAAAAACCCTTTTTCTGTAACAAGAACCCTTTTTCCTTAAAAAACCCCTTTCCTTTAAAAAAATTCTTTTTCCTTAAAAAGAACCCTTTTCCCTTAAAAAAGCCCTGTTTCCTTAAAAACCTCCTTTTCCTTAAAAAAACCCTTTTTCTGTAACAAGAACCCTTTTTCCTTACAAAAACCTCTTTTCCTTAAAAAAACCTTTTTCCTCATAAAAAACCCCTTTTCCTTAAAAAAAAAACCTTTTCCTTATAAAAAACCCTTTTTCCTTATAAAAAACGTTTTCCTTAAAAAAAACCCTTTTTCCTTATAAAAAACCCCTTTCCTTAAAAAAACACCATTTCCTAAAAAAGTCTTTTTCTTTAAAAAACAGCCTTTTTTCTGTAAAAAACACCGTTATCCCTTAAAAAAACACTTTTTCCTTAAAAAGAACTCTTTTTCTTAAAAAAACACTCTTTTCCTTAAAAGAACCCTTTTTCCTTAAAAAACCCCCTTTTTCCTTAAAAAATGAACCCTTTTTCTTTAGAAAAACCCTTTTCCTTAAAAAAAACCCTTTTCCTTATAAAAACCCCTTTTCCTTAAAAAAAAGAATTCTTTTTCCTTAAAAAATAACCTTTTTACTCAAAAAACCCCCCTTTTCTTAAAAAAAAAAATCCCTTTTTCCTTAAAAAAAAACTCTTTTCCCTTTTGAGGTCATGTGGATACTGGCAAAGAGCTGTTATTTTTTAATTCCCTTTATAATCTTCTTTAATTCAACTTTTCCCCCACCCTGGGAAAAGCACCTTTGTGGCACTGCGAGGGAAGGCAAAGTTGAATAAACTGCCCTTTTTCCTTCCCTTATTTCAGAATATCTGAATTTCAGCCTCCATTTGGAAGATGTTTGGGGCTGCCACGGGATTTCCTTGGCAATTAGTGGGAATTGTGCTGCCTAAGGAGAACAGAACCATCCCCCTGGGGGTGAATTCATGTTTTCTGCCTCAAACAATTCTAAATTTCTTGTATTTCTCCCCTGCTGCCAGTTTGGGCAAAAACCCTCTGACTTTTCCTTGCATTCTTGACAATTAAGGAGCTAAAGCTCCTAGAATGTGTTGAAGTTTTACCTTCTTTACGTGCTAAAGGTCCTGAGGAGCCAAATCTTCGTGTCCTGGATTGCTCTGGATCGAAGCAGGAGCCACTGGAGCGTGTTCGGAGCTAATGGGATCAAAGCAAAGAGCTGCTCTGGGATTTAACCCAATTGAAACTCCAGCTATCCAGGCTGCAATTAAAGCCAAGGAAATTTGATATAAAACTTGCTCTTCGACCCTCCTGCGAAAAGCCAAGACTCGTGTTTGATCTCCAGTCTCTTGGTACGGGTTTTACACTTGGTTTTTGTTTGGTTTTAAAGTGTGGGTTCATGGACCCCAGTGATTAAGTCACAATTTCAGCTTCAAGGTCTGTCCAGCTTCTCCCCAGGGCAGGTCTGGCTGCTCCTCTCCTCTCAGTTCTTGGGAGGGAAGTGGCTGCTCTGAAAACAAAGGAGGAGCAACTCTCCAGAGCTCCAGGTAAGACCCAAAAATGCAAATTTTGGCAGTGTCTCCATGGATTCCCCTCCCAGCAAAGAGCAGGTGGGGTGTTGGGGAAAGCCCCTCATCCCTGAGGGCTGGCCTGGGGTGGAACCTTCGTGGCCACTGCTCAGTGCTGCTGTCACAAAGCCCCCAGAGAATCATAGAATCACAGAATCAGCTGGGTTGGAAGGGACCTCC